TCTATCCTACTTCAAAAGCAGCTCCAGTTTTCTGCGATACCATGATATTGGTCAACACTGGTAGCAGAACTGGTTTATTTTATCCAGGTGTGATGTATTGAAATTGCAGCAAAGTGGCATTTTCTTCTGCCAACCTTTGAGTTGTTGAGCTTGTGGTCAATCCAGTTGCTTATTGGTGAGAGTTCTTGCTTTACTGTACTCTGTTTGCTGGCTCCTGAACTGAAGGCCACCATTTTTTTCTGTCTCTTGACCTCTAATAGAGCTACAGTTTAGAACAGTGTTTCTCAAACTTGGCAGCTTGAAGATGTGTGGACTTCAATTCCCAGAATTCCCCAGCCAGCCATGCTGGTTGGAGAATTCTGGGAGTTGAAGTCCATACATCCTAAAGTTGCTAAGGTTGAGAAACACTGGCTTAGAATGTATCCTCAGAGAATTTCTGATTCAAGGTCGTTACTTGGAAAAAAGCAGCTTGGTGCTTTGCAGTTGCCTAGCATCCTGCTAAAGAGAAAGGAAACACACTTTCACCTATTTCTTTTCTCTTCACTTACTATGCACCTTGGAAGAGATGCAAGGAACAGAAAATCATCAAATTAGCTCAGATTAGTCCTGGCTGTATTCCTCCCTCCCCCAGCAAGAAATTATCATAGCTCGATCGTGAAGAGTATTTAGCTGTAAATGTTGACATCCTGTTCATTTAGCATTACAGTTCACAGCAGCCTTTGCAGGCACGGAGCTTCCCCTTGTAGTAACTACTCAGAGTCTGTTGCAAACAACCACACCAAGGCACACATCTACTGAAAATATGGAGGGTGGTGATGATCCAGCAATTTATTTTTTTCTCTTTTTCTGTAGTGTGGGAACAAAGGGGTTCTTGTTACTCCAGAAATTGCCAACTATTTGCACCAAACCCAAACAAATTAGATGTGTAAACCTTCTATAACTTTTTGATAAATAAAATTCTACATTCAGGAATCTGAATTTCCTGCTGGAAGGTTATAGAGGCTAATCTGGCATTGGAATCTCAGAACAATTATGGGATGCAGTTGTTCTGTTCCACTCATCCTCATTTGGAATGTTTCTGAGGCAAGGGCATGGCCTCGCCGTTAGAACTATCTGAATTGCATAAATCTAGACTCCCGCTACACGGCAGAAAATGTCTTCACTGCCTTCTAGTGGTTGTGTGATGGACTGGAATGGAGGAAGGGGGGTGAAAACAGTGCTCTCGTCTCCAGAGCAACGCTCTGGAGATAAGCGGAGAAAGCTGGCGCATCCCTAAA